ACCAAGAAAAAACTGACTCTGGAAGGAAATTGAGATAATTATGGAATTCTCCATGCAAGCCTGCAGGGAACCTGATTTTGAAACCCAGAAGAACTCCGAAATTGTATTTTCCACGCATCCATTCTGCAGAAGTTGCATGTCGTTTAGCAAAACAAGAATGAAGTAGGAAAGAGGAAGATGGGCACTGCAGGCCCTGGCCACGCTCACCCCGGAGCCCAGTGAAGCCCGGAGTGACGGCTGCGCAGCTGGCCTGAAATCTGCATTCACTAAACGTCGGCCAGGAAATCAGTGGCCTCGCTCCGACAGAGGAGATAGGGTGAGGCGGGAGTTGGAAGATAGCTGATAAGTTGAAGAAAGCAAGTGCTGCTTATTCCTGCCAGAAAAAATAAACAAGTACCATCAAAATGTGTGCAAGGAAGCCACAATTCAAGTATGGGAAGAAGTAAACTGCCCAGCTCGATACGAGGTCGTCATTGGTACACACTGAACACGTGTGCTCAACACCACACTGGCCACTGTGTGTGTTGGGAGAGAAGGCCAAGAATACGAAGAATCCTCAGACACAGTCCTCCGTGTACTTATGGTCAGTTAGGGAGATGACATAAATTCACATGGAAACCCAGCGACCGGAGATGAAGGCGTCATTTAACAGCCGATGAGAGGCTCCACTTAGACACAGCAGAAAACACCTGGAGTAGAGTTTCACTGATTCCTGCGTCAGGTGTGTGTTGAAGACATTCTGAGTGCTGCACACCATAGGGTGTGCTGGGCTTTCGCTGGGGAGCAGGACCAACAGGATCCCTGTCCCATGTCAACACAAACGTCGTCTTTCCGGAGATGGTTATCTGTGAGGAAGAAAGGAAACAGCGCCATAGAGAGACCCGGTGCGGGACTGTGGCCGAGGAGTCAGTGAGCAGGGGCATAGCATGTGTCTTAGAGGAGACAGCCTTTGAGGAAGAGCCAGCCTGGGCAGAGAGTTAGGGGCAGAGAGCTCCAGGCAGAGGGAAGCAAGAGGGAGGTGGGTGCATTCCAGGAACAGAGGAGGCTAGCGGCTGCCATAAAGGAGGCAGGGCCCAGGCGGAATTGAAGCAGAGGAGTGAAGTGATCTTGGTTATGGGTAACTGACTCAAGCAGGTCCTGGAAAGTGAGTTAAGAGGCTATTCCGGCAGCCCACCTGGCTGAGGGGTCATTGGGGTGGGGCTTGCAAGAGGGGGCTGGAGGGGGTTGGATTCACTGTACATCTGGAGGGGGAGGAAGGAAGGCTGAGTTGGTGAACAGCTGGGATGAGATCATGGAGAGTCTTAGATTTGTGTGTGTGGACGTTTCTGTTAGGCAGTAGGGATCTGTGGCCACAGATCTCATCTCTCTCCTCACGTGGGGATTAGTCTGGCAGCAAGTAGGAGAAAAATGCTCCCGTCGTTCATGTTCTGAGTCAGGAGGGTGTAAACTCGGGAGTGGAGAAGAGCAAGGAGGAGAAGTAGCCTCTGGAGGTTTTCGGGGGACAGAAACCCAAGCTCACCAGCTAACTGGGTACATCCCAAAATGGAAGAGTCAGAAATGGCTTGGAGGCTTCTGGCTGGGATACCTGTCAGTTCCAAGACAGTGGCAGGGGTGTCCAACTAGAATTATGTCAGGCAGCTTTGGAGGAGAAGTCATATTGAAAGTCAGGAGAGCTTGCTCAGCGGATGCTTACTGGGGAGAAGTGGGCTTAAGAGCTCTCTGCATGAGAGTTGTGGCCGCAATCCAAGGAGAAGGCTAATTACCAAGAAAATAAAAAAGCAGGGAGGCCCCAGGGAGCTACACATTTTCAGGCAGTCAAAGAAGCAAGGGGAAGGAGGGGGCATCCAGGGGGTGGGAGGCAAATCAGACAGGAGCCATGCTTTGCCTCTGGGGCACCTGCGGGCACGCGCTCTGGAGCGTCTGCTTGTTTGCACGTTGGTGCCTCCCTCTGTCTGGCATGTCTTTGTTCCCAGGTTAGGCACGTAGCAGACCAGTAACTGCTGTGGATGAACGAGTGCATGTACAACAGACAGAGTTGCCTTGGGCTCAGTCATCTTGTTCTCTTGGAACACGGAGCCTTTTAAATACACTCTTCCAAGCTCCCCTGACATTCAGAAGTGATGACTTCACTTGTGTCCTGTGGCAGCTTCCATTTGAAAAATGGAAAACCATCCTACTTCCTGCCAAGATTATAGGTTGCTTGCGCTGACTGAAACAATAGAAGAAAACACCCCCGTTGACAGATTTTGTGGCTGTCACTCATCAGCTCTTAGACTCACTGCTGTTCAGACACGGACATTCGTGCCTTTCCTGCCTCCAGATGCAGACAGCCTCTAAAATAACACCAAGGGGTGTGGGCGGAACACGTGGACCCGTCCTGGCCTCTGTATGGTCTCCAAAATTAACTGAAAGAGCCTCCCTGTAAGCTTCCTGCTTGCACCTGACCTGAAAAGCCATCTTCTTTGGGGCTGGGGAAACTGGACCAAACAGGGCATCCAGAAGCTGTTGAATCAGGAAACCTTAACTGAGGTGCAGGACAAGGAGCCAGACGCGAAGCCAGAGGTTCACTCCTACCAAGCAGGGGTGTGGTTTGAAAATGACAGGAAGCCAGTGTAGGGAGGGCCTGGAGCAGGCAGCACCTGACATGGGAAAGCCCAGGTGGAGCTGGAACAGGTGCCAGGAAGGAGGCCGGGGGAGAGACCATCTCTGTGGGCAGTGGTCCTGCGGCCCTGCTGGAGGCAGGAGACCACGCACTGGAGCTCTGAAGTGAAACAAAGCAGCAGACACATGGTCTCACAGATTTGGTCTGGGCATTTGCTGATCTTGGCTACTCTTTATTCTTTGCCACTGTAATTTTTTTTTTTTTTTTAATTTGAGGCAGACTCTTGCTCTGTCTCCTGAGCTGGAGTGAAATGGCACGATCTCGGCTCACTGTATCCTCTGCCTCCTGGGTTCAAGCAGTCCTGCCTCAGCCTCGGGAGTAGCTGGGACTACAGGTGTGTGTCACCACACCTAGCTAATTTTTGCATTTGTAGTAGAGACCAGGTTTCACCCTGTTGGCCAGGCCGGTCTCAAACTCCTGACCTTGCGACCCACCCACCTCAGCCTCCCAAAGTGCTGGGTTTACAGGCATAAGCTGCCCCGCCCGGCTTATACTGAGCAACTTGGTAGCAGCTTTCGAGCAGTCCACATCCAGAATCCAGGCGACCCTGCATTGGGCTCCAGCCTCGTGGTGCCTCGTCACAGCCGGCTTCGCTCCAGGTCACTGTGAGTGGTCTGTCCTGGCAAAGTGTTGTGGTGGGTCGCCAGTTACCATCTGTGTCTTGATGTTACCTGCGTCTCCCCAGCTGCGACTAAGCGCACTGTTCTCCGTTTGCTCCCTGCTGTCCTCTGGCCACTAAAGCCTCTGAGTTTACCCTTTTCCTCTTTGTATACTAACTTGGAGCAAGTTTGATCTTTTATTCATGTTCTGCCCTTTTTCAGATTTCACAGTGGTCATTTTTAGACTCAGCTTGCTAAGCTGTTAAAACATCTTAAAGTCTTCCCTGGAATCTGTTCAGTTACGCCATCACTTTGGGCAGAACACTGTTAATTTCCCATTAAGTCTTATTAAAAAAAATAGCTTTAAGGATGAGACTTGAGGACTACTGAATATAAAGCGCATTCACCTGTCCCTTTGAGTAGCATGCCATGGTGCAGCGGGTCTCATCACACGGCCCCGGGCCAGCAGCCTCAGCCTCTCCTGGGAGCTGATTAGAAAGACTCATTCTCAGGTGCACCCAGACCTGCTGGGTCAGAAGCTCTAGGGCTGGGACACGGCCATTTGTGTTTTAACTGCCCTCCCTGTGAGTCTGATGCACACGTAAGTTGAAGAACTGCTGCCGTAACGGAGCAGAGGACGCTGATGTCTTTGGGGAGCTGTGGGGCCAGGCACTTGCCTCCAGGGATCCGCATGCAGGCAGCCTGGCACCCCAGGTGCTGTGCCGACTCCAAGCCCTGCCTGTGAGGGGGAAGCGTGGTGCTGCTGCTCCTTGTCTAGGCATCATGGGAAAAGGCTAAATCACCTCCACTTGGATTGTTTTAGATCTTGATTTCTGGCTGTAGATTCCTTTGGAGTCTGAAGCACCAATATGTAATTTGGGGTGCAGGGCAGTAGGAAAAACCCAGTCCTTGTTCTGGAAGCATTAGCCTTACTGGGGGAAAATGTGGAGGGACATTTAAGCAATCTAGCTAGTAAGTAAATACCCAGTGTTTACCATGGTATAAACTTAGGTTATTTTGCAGAATACAAAATTCTCACATTAAAAAAAAAAAAGAGTCCAAAACCTTTTTCTACTTTTTATGAAATGGGCTGTGCTTTTCAGGCCCTCCTGGGGTAGAGGCAGCCTCTCCTCTGCTCTCAGACTTGCCTTGTTAAAAAGGTTTGAGCAATGGGACTCTTCGTAGACTCAGTCTCCCTACCTGAGAAAAGAGGGGCCCGTGCCCAGCCCTGCCTGAGTGAGCTGTGGGCATCCCTACTTTGGTAGAAGAGTCTGGTTTCTGCTGTGTATTCTGAGACTGCTGGTTGTTTCAGCCAAGTTGCAGGTCACCCCCGCAGCCCGGAGGGGAACCCACATAATGTAAAACTGTGGCTGCACCAGCTGGTGTGAGGGTCCCAGCTTCACTCGCTCCCCACGGTCTCTGCCCCCAAGCAGTCAGGGCGTCAGGCCTCAGTGTGACTTCCATGGACGCTTGTGCCTTCATGGGTCTCCCTCCTCCAGAACAAACACCAAAAAATACACTTGACAATTAAGTGGGTACAAAGACAAATATCCAGGTTGGATTCTGTGCATTTCTTTTTTCTCTCCTGAATTAAAATATTTTCTTGGGTCTTTGAATGGATCAGGGCCCCAGGCCCCGTGCCTGCTGGGCCCCGTGGAAAGGTTAGCCTCGTGGGGCAGCCTCTTTAAAACCCCTCTGAGTCTTAACCACAGAATAAGGAGGCCTCTCTGGTTCTTTAGAAGATCGGCTGTGATGGCATCATTGGGTCTGCGGCCAAAGAGGACCGATGCGGGGTCTGCAGCGGAGACGGCAAGACCTGCCACGTGGTGAAGGGCGACTTCAGCCACACCCAGGGGACAACAGGTGAGTGTCGGCCCACGGGGGCTGCTGTGGCCACGGGACGTCAACACATGCTGTGTGTTTTGTGACCTTTGCCTAAAGCTACTGATTGCTCTCAGGATTTTGACCTAGGCAGATCCATTCATCTGTCCACAGTAACGTCCTCCTCTCCTGCCCTCCCCTTTCTCTTTTCCATCCACCCTGGCCTGGGCCCCATCCATGCCTGGAATGTGAGGTCAGTAACCGTTTGGCCATGACAGTGAGTCCCCCATGGAAGGACAGACCACACTGAAAGCCTCCTTGGGTAGCTGTCCCCACCCTGGCTTGCAGCCTAGCATGTGTCCTTCCAGCTGCCAGGGCACAGAAGCCTTAGCAAGCCTTCGGAGAAGGGTAAGCACACCTCCACTCACCAACCTGGACTGCCATTCCGAGTGGCTGCCAGGTGTGACACATCCATGTTAAGGCACACAGCGATTTGTTTTCAAATTCTCACAGCTGGAGTCTGAGTGCAAGCCCGTATCAGTATGGATTCTCTGAATTGAACATCTGCATGCAGTACTGGTTTGCACGTGAATGAGTCACTGGCTGCTGATCTACTTTCATTCAACACAAACCTGTGGTCATGGTGTGACATACTGGAATGCACCTAGACGGAGTGGTGCGTTGACCCAGTCATTATTTACGCAGGACCATTGACCCAGTCATTATTTACGCAGGACCATTGACCCAGTCATTATTTACGCAGGACCATTGACCCAGTCATTATTTACGCAGGACCATTGACCCAGTCATTATTTACGCAGGACCATTGACCCAGTCATTATTTACGCAGGACCATTGACCCAGTCATTATTTACGCAGGACCATTGACCCAGTCCTTATTTACGCAGGACCATTGACCCAGTCCTTATTTACGCAGGACCATTGACCCAGTCCTTATTTACGCAGGACCATTGACCCAGTCCTTATTTACGCAGGACCATTGACCCAGTCCTTATTTACGCAGGACCATTGACCCAGTCCTTATTTACGCAGGACCATTGACCCAGTCCTTATTTACGCAGGACCATTGACCCAGTCCTTATTTACGCAGGACCATTGACCCAGTCCTTATTTACGCAGGACCATTGACCCAGTCCTTATTTACGCAGGACCATTGACCCAGTCCTTATTTACGCAGGACCATTGACCCAGTCCTTATTTACGCAGGACCATTGACCCAGTCCTTATTTACGCAGGACCATTGACCCAGTCCTTATTTACGCAGGACCATTGACCCAGTCCTTATTTACGCAGGACCATTGACCCAGTCCTTATTTACGCAGGACCATTGACCCAGTCCTTATTTACGCAGGACCATTGACCCAGTCATTATTTACGCAGGACCATTGACCCAGTCATTATTTACGCAGGACCATTGACCCAGTCATTATTTACGCAGGACCATTGACCCAGTCATTATTTACGCAGCATGACTACATTTTAATTCCTAGGTATTCAGGAATCATTTACTGTCCCCACCTCAGATACAGTCGAGGGAGGGGACCCCTGGGCAAACAGACAGCTTGAGTCTATGTGAGCATGAGGTGGAGGCAGCACAGCAGGCGTGTTGTGTGACCCCAGGTTCTAGTGGGGCACCAGACCTCAGCCTGCGGAAGATGAGGGTGGCCCCCAGCTCTACAGGACACATAGAAATCAGCTGATAGTGGAGTAGTCGGGGGACACCTGAGTCAGGGGACACCTCAGGCTGAAGGGGAAACATCCTTGCGAGATCCAGCATGGAAATCATAGCCCCCAGCTCAGGGGCATCTCAGTGACCCCAAGCATGGCTCGTGACTGGATTTGCCAATTCTATCAGTTTAGATAGGAAGGTAACTTTATCTCTGCCTGCCTCCAAAGAATGAGGGAAGGAGGAGTGCCTTATCGCCCTTAAGGGTGCATATCAAGGACTCCACACCAGGAAGATAAAATGGAAGGGGCTGCAGGATTTTTGCCCAATTACATGAAGTCCTGACCCCTGCCTGAGCTCCTCTGGGTCCTTTCACCACGTTTCTGAGCCAAGAATCCAGGGCAGACCCACATGTGGCAAGTGTCCATCCCTGCAGAGCCAAATCTCCCTCTCCATCATGAGAGGGTCCTAGTGTGACACCAGGGGAAGTGGTGTCCTGAGTGTAGGACATTTATCAGCCTCCAGCCTTGGCTTCCAAACTTTGGACAAATGAGGTCCTCAGTTCCTTATCTATGGAAGGAATCAACATGAGTATCACATTGCTTTTCTGATGGATGGGCTTCACAGTGCTCATGCCTTGGGCTGGCTTAAGACCGTTGAGTTATCTGAACCTAGCAATTGGAGAGTCCTTGGTATGATGCTTTCATTTCGTTGAGCCGCCATTTTAGCATCATCATGTTTATTCCGCCCTGCTCCTTGGCACTGAAAAGGCAGCTGGTCATTCTCCAGGTGACCGGCCCATGGACAGCCAGAAACACCTGGACTGAATTCCCCACCGAGAACCAGCCAAGGATGCTGTGGGCTTTGGCTCCCTTTGCTCTTTGTTCAAATAATCTTTCAAAGAAGGGGTGGGGTGAAGATCCCTGTTGAATGTGGATAGATCCGTGTGTCACCTATTGATTCAGTAATTACCTCTAGACCCCCTGCCGCACGCCACATTTCCTTGCTCCGTCTGGGCGTGGGGTGTGGAATCTTGTGGGGAGAAATGGACTATTAGGGGCTGATGGTACAAAATGAGGCTTCTTTACACTGTGATGAAGAATCGTAAAATGTGCACAAAAGCTAATCACAGCATATTTCTTTTCCTCAGTTAAGAATGAGGTTTGTGCGAAGGTGTCCACATGTGTGATGGCAGAGGCTGTCCCCAAGTGTTGCTCATGTAAAATGTTGGGTGCTACGTGTCATCCCAGCAGTGACATGCTTGGTGTGGCTCTCGCCTGGCTCATGCATCTGAGTGTTTTCTGAATAGACTCAATGGGAATAAGTTGTGTGTGAAGCCGTGGATAAGCCCAAAGGCCAGGAAAGGCTTACGTGAGCTGATGTTGAGGACCGACTGCTGAAAAGCAAAACTGTATAGGCTGAAACCAATTTTAAAGCTACAGAAGGCAGTCATGGGGTCCAGAGGCCAGGTGGAAACATACCCTGGCATGCTGAGCGTAAGTTTTCTTTCCCCTCAAGCATACCTGGTGCTCTAGCAGAAAATGCCAAGGCATGCCAGAGAATTTAGGCTTAGCTGGCACCTGCCTCCGTAGAAAAGTTTTCATATTTCGGGACTGGTTTCCCTACAGGCAGAGGGGCAGTTGGTACAGTCCTCTGGGCCGCATTTGTCTACACTGACCTCCTATTCTGAGGGAGTAACTAAGGCACAGTCTAGCCTCATGGGCTTCCCAAGCAATGAGTTCTTTGCAGTTAGACCCAGGAACAACCTTTAGGGAGAAACATAAGACAGTAATATTCTTGTGAACAACTTTTGTAAGAAGAGAAAAAATAATCTTACACAAATGCCTCTCCAAATATTTTATGATCTATTTACCAAAAAAAAAAAAAAAAAAAAAAAAACCGATTTTGGAGGAAAGAGTCCAAATACACATAGTCAGCATTTTACTTCTAGACCATCGTGACCCCTCTCAGTCAGTCCAATGTTTTTCTTCTAAAAATGTTTAATGCTACTGAAAATGTGAGGAAAAACGGGAGTCCCTAATCATCGAACAGCAAGTCTACTTGACAAATTCGGACAGAAGTGATTTCACAGGGCAGTTGCTCATAGTAACTGGAAGATTTGAGACAGGATAAACGTCAGCGTCCCTTTGCAGTTCCCTCCTACTGCAGGTCCTTAGGGCACAAATGGCATGCTCTCCTGGAACCGTGGCAGAGGGTTCCACAGCTTCCTCCTGAAACCAAATCCTGTTCCTCTAACTGGATTTCTCCTGCTTGACGGCTAAAGCTAGAATGGAAAATCACTCCAAAGATAAAGCCTTCCTACCTTACCAAAAATGTGTGACTGTATCATGTAAATTCTGATAGTAAATCCTACCTTTTCATTATTCTTCATGCTCCATCAGTGTGGCAGTGTCTGGGGTGCACATCATGGGGGGTCTGGCCTGAGGGACACCAAGGTGCTTTGGGACTTGGTGATGGGACTCTTTCCCTTCCTGGTGGCTCTCCATACATGCCTCAGGTGGGCTTTGATCTCTGGGTCAGAGCCAGGTTGGTGGACTGTGAGTTCGAGGCAGTTTCCCTGGTTTGTGGACAGAGGGCCTGCCTTTCATTTCAGGGTCTGTCATTTCCATTGGTTCCCTTTTTATTATAAACAGAGAAACTTGTCCTAGAACGGTTAGCAGAGCACGTGCATAAGGACTGCCCTGGGCTGAGCGGACACCTAAAGGTGGGCTCACTTGAGTGGCGAGTCTACCCTGAACTGCTTTTCATCAGCACCTCCACCAGGGGCACATGAGAAAAAAGAAAACAGATGTCTGTTCACTGTTGAATCTTGTGCCAGAGTTAAGCTTAAAAACAGATGTGGATCGCCTGTAATCCCAGCACTTTGGGAGGCCAAGGCAGGCGGATCACAAGGTCAAGAGATCGAGACCATCATGGTCAACATGGTGAAACTCCATCTCTGGTAAAAATACAATAATTAGCTGGCCCATGGTGGCACGTGCCTGTAGTCCGAGCTACTCAGGAGGCTGAGGCAGGAGAATTGCTTGAACCCGGGAGGTAGAGGTTGTGGTGAGCCGAGATCATTGCGTTGCACTCCAGCCTGGGCAACAACAGCAAAACTCCATCTCAAAAAAAAAAAAAAAATAGATGTGGATTCCATGCATCAGCTGCAAAGGTGCCATGATGTGGAATGAGGGAAAGGAACTGATCAGGGCCTGAGCAGCTGTCTCGGATTCTGCAGACTGGCGATGCCAGTGCCAAGGTTTGTTAGTTGCAGAATAGGAAATCCCATACAACAGCAGCTTCTTTCGAGAACAGCCCATCCCCACAAGCAGATCTTGTTTCCAGGCATGTT